TGTGTGTGTGTGTGTGTGTGTGTGTGTGCGGGGAGTCGCCAGGTCTCCCAACGAGGGTCAATTCCAAATTGATCAATCTGAATCAAAACTGAATGAGCAGAAATAGAAGAAGTGAACTGAGCTGTAGTGACAATTGGATTTTGTGTATTTATGATGACATAATGCTCAGTACTACTCTGCGTACTAAGTCTGTACTAAATGTGTTTACCAGTGGTTGGATGGTTTCCGGGGGCGACTTCAGGTTGCACCCGGCAGAGGCCATATCTGCCCCCTGGTTACACCCTGACCTCGGTGTAATGTGCAGTGTAGGCTGGAGCCTGTGTCCAGAGATTAGAGACGTTACATCCAACAAACACATCAACTAATAGGTTGAAAATCCTTGAAACTCTTTGCCTCTGCTGAAGCAAAGTGTAACTGTGGGAGCTCTGATGCTGCAGCAACTTTTTTTTGAGGTTAAAACTAATCTGTGAACAATTTGTTTAAAGAAAAGTTCTCCTGCAGGATGTCAGCTGGAGTCAAAGGCAGATAGAAAGACAGATTTACAGCGTGTTGTGTCTTTTACTGTGCTCATGTGTGAGTGGACTGATGGTCAATGGATCATTTTCCCCAGAAACTTAAACACGGACTGATAAAGTCAAATCAGAGGAGGTTAAAGCAGCAGATGAAGCCAAATGATCCCAGATTTACAAAAGTGCCACAACATCAGGGATAAAATGTTCCTGTTAAATGCTGATGAATTACTGGACAAACGTTCCAAAATCAAACGATGATAAAATGAACAATGATTTTTACAGATGCCTCCGAGATGAATGAGCTAAAGAGGAAGTACAGTATGAATGTGTATGTGCTGACGTTCATGTGAGTAAATGTTCTTTTGAGGAATTCACTACTGATAACTGACGTGATCACTGATTCTCTGACACTGAGATTAGACCAAATGAAGAAAATCCATCAAGGACTTCAGATACATTAGAATATGTGTGACACGAGGGAATGAATGGAATGTTCATTACTTAGATCCTTTAAATTAGTAAAAGTATAAGAAGCAACGAAACATAAGTCTAAGTGTAATTACATCCAATCTGTAAGATCTTTAACCTAATAGCGCTGTAAAATAAATGCAGTAAAATGAAAGTGGAAATACTGTAGAGGAACTGTACTCAACTACTTTACTACTCAGAGTTAAGTTTCATTATATCAAAACACTAAACTGCAAGAAAAAAGATAGATGACCGTC